TGTCTTCTATTGTTCAATTCTGGGGATATTACTAAAGAAAACATAGGTAGAGTATGTTTTCTATAGTAACAAAGTCATGCTAAGCCTACTAACAGAGGTGGACTACAAAGGATTCAACGAGGCTATAAAAGTCACCCTCGCGAGCTACCACCGATCTAGAAAATAGGGTACATCCACGAGTAATCGAGTCTAAGCACCATGCTTACATTACAAATACTACTTTAACCAAGGAGCTACAAGGATTAAAATACTCAGCAGAGAGTCGCAAACCTGAAGAACAATATGAACAAGATGCTTACTTGAATTAGAACTTGATTCCACCAGGGTACAAGCTGTAGAGAGAGCACCGATAGGCCAGGACTGCTCCAAACTCTTCCCTCTCACTCTATCTCACTATCTCTAATACAAGACTAGATCCTATTGAGGACTAATCTTCTCTTGATTGCTAGCCTTGATCCTAGTGGACATATGAATTAGGGTTTCTAGCTTCTCAGCTCTTAGGATCAAATGAGGCATGCCCTGGAGGGGGGTGTAGGCAGGTATATATAGCCCGGAGCATCAGTCTTGAGCCATCAGATCAAACCGACTTGAATAAACAGCGGAGATGCAATCCTTAAGGCGGTGGAAAACCGACATAACAACGGAGAGGCTAACAGGGGGGCCCATAGGTTGGCCGACTTACAGGTGGGGCTGGTTGGCCCCATATGGCAGTGGCTTGGGGTCTACTTCGGTGGAGAGCCTCCTGGAGTCTTCTAGAGTCTTTCCACGCTGTTTATGCGGTGGAATTTCATGATTTCTTTTGACGAATAGGTCCTCCTTTGCGGTTTTCTGATTAAATCCTACTGAAAACACAGATTCACCAAAACTCATGGAATTTGTTAGTTTAAACCCCTAAGTCTATATTGGTGATCCTTTTTAGCCATTTATACAAGTTATATTGATGTTTTTTGATGAATGTTAACTACCCTCAACAAGCTCCCCCACACTTATGCTTTTACTCGTCCTTAGGACAAGACATCAACATAAAACTATTCTCAATTATGCATGCACTACAGGATTCAAAGTGTCTACCATGAAACTTTGGGCGGTTGAAAATAGAACAGCTTGAAACAGATCACCATCTTCCTTCAATCAAGTCAATTGGAGAAACATTTTAAGATTTTTGAAAACAAAAACATAGCTTACCTTCTCTTTTTATAGTACTCTCAAATCTCTCTGTATATATGGTATTTTTGGATCCTCACCAATGCATTGATGACTTTGCCTTCTTTTTATCTACTTCTAAAAGCTTATGTGGAGCTCAGGTAGGGATGAATATGAGAACATACTTGCATTGCATATATTATAAAGTCAAAACAAGGATCAAGGAGAAAGATGTCATACTGTTAGATCAGGATGTGCATGTGTGTGGATATGTATATGGTTGCTAACCTAATTCTACTATGCTCCTTGAAACATATCTCTCTTGATTGAAACTTGGAAAACTTTTGCAAGAAAACATGGGCTATCTTATTCATCTCTCTCTTTTTCAGACGGGCATTTGAGTACCCATTGTTTTAGATATCTCGGACACTTGTCCATTTTTACAATACTTTCTTTTCTTCTTTTTTTAAGAATAACTTTTACATAGCACGTGCCTCTTTTTCTGCAATTGAAACTTTTTAAGAGAGACATTTACAATAACTTGGAGCATTTATCCTATCAAGCAAATTTTTGTGTCTATTCCCAGTGTGGGAGTAGAACATTTTTTGGCAGATGGAAAACATGTTGTTGTGTACTCCCAGTGTAGGAGCAGTCAGATATATGTGGAGTGTATGTGATCTTGATCTTGAGAGCATGATAAGTTTCTCAACAAGGGTCACAAGGTTTGACCAAACTCAATACAATGACAAGTAGTATATGCGGAAGGTTTCTCTAGTCTATATTTGGCTCTGGTAGGACATTGCTTACCATAATGGAGAGGTGTAGCTATTCATTTTACTTTTTAGAATAAAATTCTCTAATAACAAGACATCAAGAATCAAGTTCGCATTATTCTACTATATCTCATTTCACAACAACTTAAGTAGCATAGGGTCCCTAATAATAAGTTCCCAATAATAGCATGACTTCTAGAAAAGTATTATGTGAGTCTATCCTTAAGTCATGACTAAAATAATCTTTCCTCATGTTTTAAAGTTGTTTATCAAAGGATTCTCAATTCGGTTCAAAATGGAAAGCAAAACATATAAAAATAGAGTGTATTGGGCTTGAACCTGACCGAGGACAAAACTCGAGGTGAGACGGCGCAGTGATGGGCCGGCCGACCCATCGAGGAGGCCAGGCGGCCTGCTCCAGGGGTTGATCGAGGCGCGCCGTAGGACGTGGTCCTTCGCTCATTACTTTCCAAACTTCATGATTTTCATGATCGAATTTTGTCTTGTTGTCACGGTGTGTCTCCCTCCACACTTGTTTTCTTGTATACCTTTATGCGCCCTAGCTCGTTACGTTTCGCCGGTAGTGATGACACTGCTCGGGGAGTGGCTCTACAGTAGGGTCCTATTTTCTCACACGGCGAGTCTAGATCGGGTACCAGCCAGTGATGGGCGTTGATTCATTGATTCGAGTGATCTCGTGACTCCCTAGAAGGATGTGGCCGTTGTGAGCCATTCCTCGGGCGAGCTCTCCATGAGCCATAGGCCTCTGGCTTCCTAAGCGAAAGTCTTGGCCTTGGCCAGTGATGGGCGAGGGTATTAGGCCCCCTACGTAGGTGAACTCCGTGATGCAATCCCTAAGGGCAGTTCTGGGGGTGTGTTTGCCACGGATCACGGGGTCCGGACCTCTAGGGCGGAGGTCTGGGCCGCAACTGAAGGTGGGCGCGGGCGCTAACCCTTTGGTGTGGTTAACTGCGTGGTTCCCCAAAAGGATGTGGCCGGTCGAGGCCATTCCTCGGGTGAGTTCATTACGAGCCATGGACCTTTGGTTTCCTAGATGGTAGACCTGGTCATGGCTGATGATGAGTGAGGGTACTAGACCCCTCTGGGTAGGTGAACTCTAGAAAGCATCCCCTAAGGGCAGTTCTGAGAGTGTGCCCGCCGTGGACCGTGGGATCTAGATCTCCAGGGTGGAGGTCCAGGCCATGGCCGAAGGCAGACGTGGGCGTTGGCCCTTTGGCGCCGATGAACTCGTTGTTTTTGTGGCGGATGTGGCCGCCATGAGCCATTCCATGAGCGAGTCCACCGGCGGTGCGAGGAGCCATCGTTTCCTTCTCTACAATCAAGAGTGCGCGACTATCCTTTACCTAGCGCGCCAACTATCTTTGTTTTGTAAACCAGATTAGTAAACTTATACGATTGCCACGCTGCTCTAGGAAGACGATGGTAGCATCCAAAAGATATGAGGATTTATACTGGTTTAGGCCGAAGCCCCACGTCCAGTCTTAGAGATGATCGAGTGCGTGTTCCTCGCTTGAATGCTCTAAATTCTTACAATGGGGGTGCAAGAATGGTGGAAGAGGAGAGAAGAGCTAAAGCTAGGAGACGGGTAGCCCAAAGGAAGCTTCAGGAGCCCTACTACGATGAAGAGTGAGTGAATGAGTAGAGGGACGCAGAATATCTAGAAAGGATGCCCTGGCTGCCCTTATATAGAGTTCGGGGCCAGGACACATACAAAGAAGGAGGTTCTCCCGACCGAAGGGTCGTGAGCCTGAGGGAGGGCCTAGCTAACTTGGCTTGCAAGCTATGTCGTCTTGTGGAGTACGCTCGGACGTGGCTGTCGTCATTGTCTTGTGGCCACGTCATGGCATGGAGTGGCGAGGTGCTTCTGCGCCGATTGTGGTGGTATTGTAGGCACGGTGGTGGTGCGTTAGCCATCCTGTGTGACGTGATCTCCGCCATGGTCTTCGTCATCATCTCCTGGTTTCTTGGGGCATCGTACGGGAGTTGGTAGCCGCCCCTAGGTCGTCGATCGCCTAGTTGTCTTGAGGAGCGGAGGGCCATGATCCTAATCGCTGAGGTTGTGGTTCCCCACGCGGTCTGGATAGCCTTCAAGTCAATGCCTTCGTCGTGGATCCCATCCTGTTGTGGGTGGGGTCGTACATGCGTCTTGTCGGGCCGTATCTAACCGGTGGTCATCATGCCCATCGTCACCGCCCTGGGGCAGTATTGTCTTGTCCGAGCTACGTGGTGCAGGGTTGGTGTCTGACCAGACCGAGATGACTGTTGTCCCCTTGGCCTTTGCGAGGTTAGTGCGGCGTACCTGTCCTTGTCAAAACAGGCATACTTGGCGGGGCTCGACCTCTCCCCATCCCTTCCAGAGGTCATGACGGGGGTGAGGTCGTGCGCCTCTCGAACGTCGTGCGGCTAAGGCAAGAGGAAGAGGACGTGGCCGACCCTGGTCTTAGCCTCCGGCCTGGTTTGCTCGGCTCAGCTAGGTCTCGGTCGTTCGGGCCTTCGCAGTTGATGTATTGCGGACCACGTGGACTGCTGACTAATCGATGCCTTGAGACACCCTGAAGTTATGACCCCGACAATAAGTCATTTTGGCTTTGACATTTGATATACATCCAGAAACATGCTATGTTTATATACATAACAAAAATTATGTGTATGTAAAAAAAGCAAAACAACTTATGATTTAAAATAAAAGGAGTAACAAGTAGCCAATAGTTTAACTGAAAATTAGTTCATCCATTAGCCCTTCTTCTATTTGGTTAGACTAAAGCTATTTTTTTTGGCTAGTACTAGTTGTTAGCCTATGAGATCAAAAGAGTCCCATGTCCACTTGGGAGTTATTAAACTAAAACCAAGTCACCAGCTCACAACATTGCGGGAATTAAGCCAAAATCTGAATTGTTCTTAGAAGAAGAAATCCAAAAATAAACCGTCTTATTGCTGTTCGAGAGATACTGCCGATTTCATAGCTTATCTTGCCTTGAACATTTGGTGCAACCCAGTGGTCGTCAAACATTATCAACTGGCGCCAAAATTGCAGCTCCGTCCGCCTACCACAAGTGAAGTGACTCAGACCACGGGGACGAAGCAGGCCTTGGCGTCCTCGCCCGCCCACTGTAGCGCGTTCCACCAATGCTTGTCGCACTCGATCCGCACGGTACCCTGCTGCCCGCGCGCCGGGCGCATCGGAATCCTCTTCAGCCGCGGGCACCCCCTCGTCTGTAGGCGCCGCAGATCCGGGAACGCGCACTCCCCCTGGGCTCGGATGGCCTCCAGCTTCGGCAGCCCCAGTAGGGCCAGCACCCTCAGCCGCGGGAACACGACCACCTCCTCCGTGGCACTGCCGCCGTCCTCCGCGCCACCCAGCAGCTTCGTCAGCCCGTTGCACCCGCTGAGGTTCAGCGACTCTAGGCAGGGGAGGTGCTGCACCCACGTCACGTGCGTTAGGCTGTGGCACGCGCCCATGCCGACATCGCGGAGGTTGGACCCGGCGGCCTGAGACCAAGCCATGACGCACAGCTTCGTGAGGAACCCAAACTTGATGATCTCCAGCCTGGGCATGTGCGCATCGGCTGCGATCTCCTCGACGTCGGACGAGTAGACCGCCAGCTCCCGCAGGCTCTCCTGCACGCCACCAAGCTCCGGAGCGTGCTCCGCGGCCAGCAGCGGAACCGCGCGCGCCCCTTCTAGCTTGCGCAGGTGGAGCGACCGGGCGCGCACGCCGGGCGCTAGCCGCGCGAGGCGCTCCACGTCGCGGGTGGCGTCAAGCCAGATGCTGAGCGACGCCATGCGCGCGCCGCTGCTCTCGAGGTCGTCAAGGACTGGCGCGACGTAGTTGTCCGCGACGGAGACGATGCTCGCGGTGAACAGCTCCAGCACCTGCAGCTTCCCAAGCCGCGAGATCAGCCCCGGTGGTATCGTGATCTGGATGTAGTAGTTGTCCCGCAGGTAGAAGTACTCGAGCTGGCCCAGGTTGCCCAGCTCCATCGGCAGCGACAGGATCTTGTTCTTGGATAGGTTGAGGTACTTCAGGTTGACCAAGCAGCAGATTTCCATGGGGAAGGCGTCCTGAATGCCGGTGTCCTCGAGGTCCAGGTACGTGAGCTTGGTGAAATGCTGGATCGCCTGGAGCATTCTCTTCGGCAGGGCCTTGTTGAACTGGAGCATCAGCGACGCCGGCTGCGCGTCCCCGAGGGCGCTGCCCACCTTCGCCGGGGCGTCCTCGATGGTGTTGTGCATCAGGGACACGCGCTGCGCGCCACGCCACAGCACCTCCTCGCGCGGGGGCTCCCTGAGCCCGGCGCCTGCACGGACCAGCCACCTGCCGGAAGCGAACCGGAGCGCCGCGTCGCGCACGACGTCGTGCAGCCTGACGTGAGTGTCTGACGGGAACATGTTGTAGCGGTGGTTGTGCCCCGGCTCCAGCAGGCGCGCGTCCTTCAGGATGGCAATCAACGAGAGCCCGAACCTGTGGGCCTCTTCGATGTCGCCGAGATCCGGGAGCAGGCCGAGTCCGATCCAGCTCTGCACGAGCTCCTCCTTGAAGACGTTGTGGTCCTCCGGCCATAGCGCGCAGGTCAGGAAGCATTTCCTCACCATGTCGCTCTCCAGATTGTCGTAGCAGAACTTCAGTAGCGCGTGCGTGCTCTTGTCCAAGCCGGGCGTGCCGGAGGGCAGCGACGCCTTGAGGGTGTCGAGTGCGTTGGACCACTCCTCTGGTGTGCGCTTATTTGACATGGCGCGGCCGACGGTGACGAGAGCCAGAGGCAAGCACTTGCATTCGGCAGCGACCTGTTTGATGGCAAAACAAGTTAGCCTGAAGAAATCAGATATATTTGTAACTGGAAATTCAGAAACTTATGTCAAATGAATGAAACATTTGTAATTAGAAATCCAATATTACCTTGATATTTATGCCAAGCAATACGATCACATTTAAAGACTGAAAAATGGGCCATACACTGACATGACATTAAGCGTTGCCAATTGCCAATACTGACTTTCTAGCACACTTGGTACACGCCAACACAATTATGACAAGACATGGGGAAATGTGTTAAGAACTCATCTATTTATAAAACAAGAATGGACATTATAAAATAATTAGGTCGCCCTTGGGTAAGGTTTGAACTTTTTATCCAAGGCCCTTGAATCAATGTCATCCATCTAAGATCAGTCAGCGAGTAGCTAGATGTCCTTAGATCAACATCAACTACCTAGACCCGCAAATAGGCATACAACGGCCCTTTCATCGGCCCTTTCATCATTAAAAAAAGGCATACAACTGTAACTGAAAAATAAGTACTAGTAGGTTGCAGGTAACTAAACAAATTGGATATAGGGATAATTATTAGTTAGCTAAAAATTAACTAAAAATAGCTCTAGGGCATACAAGAAGGCTAATTTGAGCTAATTTTTAGCCTAACTAGTAACTAGTCTTAGGTCATCGAAATAGACCCAAGACAGATATTGCATTTGGAAGGGCAAACTTTTGGCCAATAATTGCTTTAAATACTACTCCTATAATCTTTGTGAAACTAATATGTACTCGTGTAGTCTTTGTGAAACAAAACGGATGTTATAAGATCAAACAAAATGGATGACATAAGACCATGTAAAAACGTACTTTCTTGTTATCATGGTTTTGTATTACGGGATACATTGAAATTCAAAGGGGGGAATTATAGATGGGGTGCAGATAAGCTGGTTACCTGTCTAGCAAGTGCAGGAATTTGAGTGTGGCCATGAATGGTGTCGCCGCCAACATTAGCTTGAAACAGGCTCCACGCATCCTCCTCGTTGAAGCACTCCATCTTGATCTTCTTGCGGCAGCCCATGTCAGCGCACAGCGCCTCGCTCCTCGACGCCACTATGATCTTCCTCACCTTGCCGTTGGCCATGCCGAGGGGCTGCGGGATGCCGACCCTCTCCAGGTCCAGGCGTTCCCAAACGCCGTCCAACAGCAAGAGGAAGCTCTTGTCCCTGAGGAAGCTCAGGATCCCGGCGGCCTGCGCCTGCTCCGTGGGCGCGTCGCGCAGGCCGAGCACGGACACGACCTCCCTCTGGAGCTTGGCCACCGTGCAGTCCCTGGAGGCGGCGACGAGCACGACGTGGTCGAAGCGCGCGACGCGGCCGCACACCTCGCGCACCAGCTTGAGCACCGTGCTCTTGCCCACGCCGCCGGCGCCCCAGACGCCGAGCGCGGCGTCGCAGTCGCCGAGGAAGCGGAGTGCCTCGTTGAGGTAGGCCCTCGCGGGCCCCGCCTCCGCGGGGAGGCCCTCCAGCTCCTCGGGGTCGCAGAGCAGAGGCGGCGGCGCCTGCGGCGTGGCCAGCGCGGCGTCGAGGATCGCGGCGCCCTGCTCCCGGAGCGCCCACAAAGCCTTGAGCTGCTGCTCGGCCAGGCCCGCGACGGGGCCCGTCGGGAGGAAGAGGTACTGCACCAGGCGGACCACGTACAGCTGCCCGCCGTCGTGCCGCGCCTTGATGGACGCCAACTCGTCCTGCGCCTCCTGCACGCGCCGCAGCCACGCGCGCACGGGATCCGACGACGGCGCCGGGTCGTGGCCCAGCACCTCGGCCCGCTGCCGCAGCAGGGCCTCCACCGCGTCGGCCAGCTCCTTGACGCGCCGGTCGGTGCCGGCCAGCGGCTGCCACCACTTGCCGAAGAACAGCACCAGGACCGCGCCGCCGAGGGCGAGCGAGCCGAGCACGGCCGCGAGCTGCAGCTCCATCGAACTCCGCCGATCTGATCGACCTGCAACCAGCCCAAGATAGCTCGGCGGTGCTCTTCGATCTCCCGTACGTTGAAGGCACGGTGGTGCTAGATTGCTAGGGAGACAACGGTGGCATATGCGTGTGCGCGATAGCCACTGAGGCGGGGCTGGGTTTAAAGAGGATGGGGTTAGTAGGTGGGGCGGTGAGAGGGGAGTTAATGGTGCAGTGAATGCGTGAGCGGAATCGGTAGGTCGAAGCCATACGCCTGCCGGACAGCAGGAGCATGAGCATGACCAGCGGTGTGGGCGTCGGATCACGAGGCCGGCACAGGAATGGAGGCAGCGGGGTGAGGAGGAGCTCGGGGTTGGAGATCCATCCTCCAAACTGGCAGGCTGGCCATGAATGGCCATGCCGTTCGGCAGCTCCACCGGCTGCATTCATTCACGCCATGGACGCGCGATGCTCGCTTGCTCACAGCTCCTGTGGGGCTCACTAGTGCGGTGAAGGCAGACGGAGGCGCGCATTACTGTTTCGACTTTCGAACATCCAGGGTACGTCCAAGTCCCAAACTGTGTGCGATAAACCACTGGTTCTCACATCTGCTAGGATCTCCAGGGCACGCGACTGTTAGCGGTGGCGGATCTAGGTTTTTATGTTAGGTACGCTGTCAAAAAAATTCATATATAATTTGATAGGTCTATTTTAATTTGGTAACAATTGTAACATTTGCAACGTGATTTAGTATATATGCACTAAGTATTGAGATAAGACTTAAATTCAAGGATTAAGTTGAAACCATCCACTAAATACAATCACCTTGTTCGTTGATGCTGAAATTTGGCTTATGTTGATGCTTATGTTGAAATATTGTGAGAGAAAAATATTGTTCCATGACTGAAAAGTAGTTCTGAATAAGATCAAGCGAACAGGACCCATATAAATAGTTTAAAAGTCATGCCAATAGTTATTCATGATGCAACATTAAAAAAGAGATGCAATATGCTAGTTTCTCTTCATAACTTCATAAATATTTAAAAATACATTACCAAATAGGAAAAAGTCTACTTAACCCCCCACCTTTCATACATTGTCTACTTCACCCCCAACTATGAAACCATCTGTTTTACCCCCTGAACTTTCTAAAACCGTCTATTTTACCCCCCGGACGGTTTTCAGCGGCGGTTGCTACCGTTCCGGTGGTTTTGAATTTTTCTTTTTTTTATCCATTTTCGGTGAATTTTTGAAAAATCATAGTAAATCATAGAAAAATCATAAAATGAAAAATCTAATTTTATTGGACTCCACATGAGTAGATCTACACAGTGAATATATAATACGGTATGCTTTAGTACAAATTTTTTTTTTAGCTTCAGATTAATTGGAAAATCCAATTTTTTCTGTAATTAATTAGAATTTATCTATAACTAAGTTATACATAGTCCAATGAGTACGAAATTTTTACTATAGTTGAAGCATACAATAATTAGCGTACCATAAAAATTTCACCATAATTGGACCATAGAAGCTGCAGCTATGAATTATTCCAATTAATTTCACCACAACTGTAAGCAAAACCGCCGCTGAAAACCGCCCGGAGGTAAAATAGACGGTTTTAAAAGTTCAGGGGGGTAAAATAGACGGTTTCATAGTTTGAGGGGTGAAGTAGACCATGTATGAAAGATGGGGGGTTAAGTAGACTTTTTCTTTATCAAATAATTAAACAATTTGTTATTTGTGATATTAGCAAATATCTATGAAAATAAAAAATAATTTTGTATAGAAAGATGAAGAGCAGAATAAAGAGCAAAGATTGGATTTTCTCTGTTAGCGTAGAATTCAGAATAAAATAGAGAAAACGTCACGACCGGGGAAAAATAACAGTAAAATGGTCTTTTCTCTGGGACTTAGCACCGTTACCAATCTAAAGTAACAGAATAAGATTATTTTTTTCGTGCGACTTTTTTTTCGTCTTCGCTCGGCTCCGTACGGACTTAATGGTGGCCGTAGCGTTAGCAAGTGCTTCTGCTGGTCTGATAAGAGTGCTGTTGAAGTGAAGAGACGGGTGTAACTTGACACAAGACAAGTAATGTGATTTCATATACCCACACTATTTTTTTGAGGAAGATCACACATCTGCTGTCAGAGAAGTAAACTTCTGCCTGTATCATGTTCCTGCATGCAGTTTATTTTCCTTTCTGAGTGCACCCTGCAATTTTTTTGAAGCATATTATACTTGCAACAATGAAATATATATTCTAGATTGGTAAAATAGATCTTTAGAGGAGCTCATTTTTTAGGGGTGGAAATCTGTGATCAGGTGATTTCAGCTAAGTTACTAGGGTATTTACCCCTGCTGATTTTACGTGATAAGAATGATTTCAAATCTGAAATAAGTATTTTACAAACCTGTAGGTTTGGAGGCCATAGTATACTCACAAATTTTCAAAATTTTTGCAATGAAGGTTTAGCACAATTACAGAAAAGAAGAATAAATTATGTCTTAACTTTGGGCAGCATTTTCTGACAATTGAGTTGTCGTTGTCTGACTTCTTTCAGTAATTCTGTTAGACATTCAAGAAGATAAACTTTGCTTTTTTGGATTAAATATCACTTTAACATTGGTATTTAATTTTTATAGTATTGTTATCTTATCGTGCGATCCGTGTGTTTTTAGTACAAAAGTTTAGTTGTCCTGCACGGGCACGCTACCTAGTAAAATAAGAAGAAAGAAAAATAAAAGGGTGACCGACTGACAAATAAAAAATATAAATTTAGGTGTCAAACAAGAGAATGAAGTTTTTTTTAGTGTTAAATAAGAAATATTTCGTAACTTTACGTTGGTTAGACAAAGATTCGAACAAGACTAATTGATCACATTGCTCCTTACCTAAAAACAACTAACACGGAGAGCATTGCTAAGAGTTTCCTATAAAGTCTCCCAATCTAGAATTTTTTGCAAGAATAAAAAAAACTCATCTCTAAGAATTTCCATTCCCACCTCCTAATCTTTTCACACTTGGAAAAAATCACCGAACACGCGGATATATGCACGCGTCTTCCACTGCCAATGTAAGGTGAAAGGGCATGGGACAGAATAAAAAGTAGGAAAGGGTTCCAGATACAAATGTAGAAGAGATAAAGAATATATAAAAGTGGTTAAGATATTTTAGAAATAGTATAGGATATCTTCTATATTATAGGAGTGCATTATTAGAAATTGTTGGAGATTGTCTTAATTAATCCTTCTAATACTTTTTGGTGAGTTGAAAAACACTATGGTTTTGAAAAAAAAAATTCTTGGGAACTCTTGAAAATGCTCTCACAATTTTAGAATGCTTTCGTAGAAAAGTAGAATATGTGCGGTTATAAACTTTAAAATAACTTAACCACATACTCCCTTCGTTCTAAAATAAGTCTTCGTCTCACATTTCGACAAACAATTTCAATTTTGACTAAACATATACCAAAAGATACTAATATTTGTAATACAAGATATGCATCACTAGATTAATCACACCGTATGTTTTCATAATAAATCTCTTTGAAGATACAAATAGATACTTTTTATAATCCTAATCAAAGTTAAGATTGGTTGATTCCTTGAAATGTGATATGGAGACTTATTGGGAGGAGGGAGTACTTGCGAATGTTAAGAACTTAAGACCAACTGACCAAGGGGGTGTTTGGTTCTTTAGTCGCTCCTAAAATTTATGTCACATCGAATGTTTAGATGCTAATAAGGAGCATTAAATATAGATTAATTACAAAACCAATTACATAGATGGAGGCTAATTTCCGAGACGAATTTTTTAAGCCTAATTAATCTATCATTAGCACATGTTTACTGTAGCACCACATTGTCAAATCATGGTCTAATTAGGCTTAAAAGATTCGTCTCGCAAATTAGTCACAAGTTATGCAATTAGTTTCATAATTAGTTTATATTTAATACTTCATACATGTGTCCAAACATTCGATGTGACAGGAATTTTAGGAGGCGGTGAAGGAACCAAACAGGGCCCAAGTATGTCAATATCGAATTGCAGAACATGAAAATGGAAAAATTAAAAGAATATAAAAATAGCAATATTTTATTGGCACTTTTGGGTGGACAGTAGTACCAACAAAATACTTTGCTTGGACATCATTGAGATATTGAATTGCCAATGAGTTTACCTACTGAATTGCACTTCAGCATATTGCAGCCTGCCTCTACACGGACGCATGGGGCGTCGAGTTCTTTTCTCCGTTCTACGTACACTCTGACAGGTATGTGTAGTGTAGTGCGGTACATATTTAGATTCTCTTAAAAATATTTTGGATCCGCATTATCGCTGAAAACATTTTGGGTGATGAATAAAAATTACTTTATGTAACAGTTTGGCTGTTAGATTTTGATTCCCACCTAATTTTTTATATAAAAATATACAGAAATGCTATACAACACACATATATTTTAGCATAAAAAAACACATGAATTTTCTCTCTTTCACTCTGTCAGCATCCTGCGCAGCTCGTCGACGACCGCATGCTTGATGGCACGGCGCCTGTGGTGCCGGCGGTGAGGGACCAGAGGTTGACGGCGCTCCTGATGCTAGCCTGCACGGCCTGGACTGTCTCGAAGCGGACATCGGCATGCAGAAGTGCGCGCGAGACGTCATTGAGGCTGTCCAGCACCACCTCGCTCTAAGATTTGTCCTCTTGTTCTTGCATAGAAAAAAATATTTCTTATGATATGTGGATCTATGGATATGTGATCTTGTGATTTATGATTGTCTGGAGGTAGAAGAAAGCTAGAGGTAGAAGGAGGATGGATGTTGTTGGATCTTAATTCTATGATGTAAAAAAATTTATATGTTGAAATTGTATAAAACACATGCTTGTTGGGTAGTGTCGGTGTTTCGGAACCGGGGGTCCTTAACCGACTAGTGAATTTGTGCTGCGTGCTCCCAATTTCGGATGGAGATGCAAAGAGACACAAGGTTTATACTGGTTCGGGCAATAGATGCCCTACGTT